CGGGCCCCCCCCCCCCCCCCGAAATCCCCGGCACCCCCCGGCACCCCCCGGCACCCAGGGGTTCGCCCGGCAGCCGGCGGGGAGGCGCGGCTGCAGCGGGGGAGGCGGGAGGCGGCGGGCGGGGGGCGGAGGGGGGGGTGATGGTGACGATGATGATGATGATGATGGTGGTGGTGGTGATGATGATGGTGGTGGTGGTGATGATGGTGATGGATGCGGCGCAGGGGCGGGGGGGAAATGCGCAGGGTCCCCGTTGAGGGGGGGTTGCGGCGTGGACCGAATGGGTGCAGGGGGTGGGCGCCTCCCTGCAGCGCCTGGAGCGGCCCCATGAGCGCCCCGAGCCCCCCCCGCACCCTCCCCACCAGCACCCTAAATCCCCTCCCTGCAGCGCCCTGTGCGCCCCCCATGAGCGCCCTGCGCCCCCACCCATCAGCATCCCGAGCCCCCTCCTTGTGGCACCCCGCACCCCCTCTGTGAGCGCCCCGTGCACCCCCCGTGAGCGCCCTGCACCCCTCCCACCACCAGCACCCTAAACCCCCTCCCTGTAGCAGCCGGCACCCCCCTCCATCGGCACCCTGAACCCCGCAGCGCTTCCCAGCATCCCTGTGCTCCATCCTGCATCCCCCCCCGCACCAGCCCTGGGTGGGCACCCATCTCTGTGCCCCCCCTGCCTGGCATCGGCACCCCCCCCGGCACCCCGGGAACCCCCCCCCCCGGCACCCTGTGGCACCTCGCGGTGCCGTGTCACCGCGCTGGTGCCATTTTGTGGGGGAGAGATGCAGGAGAGGCTGCGGCGTCCCGGCCGCACCTGCCGATGCCACGGCAAATCCTGGGATCCACGGCAAATCCCGGGGGCCACGGCAAATCCTGGGGGGCCGCAGCAAACCCCTGGGGCCATGAGAAATTCTGGGATCCGTGGCAAATCCTGGGGGCCACAGCAAACCCCTGGGGCCATGAGAAATTCTGGGATCCACGGCAAATCCTGGGGGCCACAGCAAACCCCCAGATCCGTAGCAAACCCCAGGATCCACAGCAAATCCTGGGGGCCACAGGAAATCCCAGGGGCTATGGCAAACCCCTTGGGGTCCACAGCAAACCCCAGGATCCGTGGCAAATCCTGGGATCCACGGCAAATCCTGGGGGCCACAGCAAACCCTGGGATCCACAGCAAACCTTTGGGGGGGGGTCACGGCAAATCCTGGAATCCACAGCAAATCCTGGGGGCTGCAGCAAATCCCAGGGGCTGTGGCAAACCTTGGGATCCATAGCAAACCTTCTGGGGGTCACAGCAAACCCCAGGATCCACAGCAAACCCTGGGATCCACAGCAAACCCTGGGATCCACAGCAAATCCTGGGAGACCATGGCAAATCCTGGGGGACCACGGCAAATCCCAGGATCCACGGCAAATCCTGGGATCCACAGCAAACCCTGGGATCCACAGCAAATCCTGGGGGGCCACGGCAAATCCCAGGATCCACGGCAAACCCCAGCATCCACAGCAACTCCCGGGGACCACGGCACATTCCGAGGGCTGTGGGAAACCCTGGGATCCGCGGCAAACGCCGGGATCCACGTGCCCCACATGTACCACGGGCCCGCCTCGCTGGGGGTGACAGAAGGTGTCCTGTCCGAGCCCCGTGGGGCGAGTGACCCACCGAGGCCACCCCACCGCCCATCCCGAGCCGGAACACGCCGGCTCCATGCCCGCAGGCGTCGGGAATCGGCTCCGAGCCGGGGCCTGGACCCGTCACGGCCTCTCCCCCGCCTTGCAGATGGCGTCGGCTACCGACTCCCGCTATGGGCAGAAGGAATCCTCGGACCAGAACTTCGATTACATGTTCAAGATCCTGATCATCGGGAACAGCAGCGTCGGGAAAACCTCCTTCCTGTTCCGGTACGCCGACGACTCCTTCACGCCCGCCTTCGTCAGCACCGTCGGCATCGACTTCAAGGTCAAGACCATCTACCGGAACGACAAGCGCATCAAGCTGCAGATCTGGGTGAGACCCCCGGGGCGCCCTTGGGCCCCCACGGAGGGGTGGGAGGGGGTGGTCGTGTTGGGGCTGCTCCGCCCTGCGGAGCTGGAAGGGCTGGAAGCACCGGGAGCGGCGCTGGGGTGGGAGGGGATGTGTCCTCGGGGACCTTGGTGGTCCTTGGAGGGGCCCGAGGGGTGTCACTGTGTCCCCAGGGGTGACCTGGTGGGAGGGGATGTGTCCTCGGGGACCTTGGTGGTCCTTGGAGGGCCCCGAGGGGTGTCACTGTGTCCCCAGGGGTGATGCTGGGGTGGAAGGGATGTGTCCTCGGAGACCTTGGTGACACCCAGAGTGCCCCAAGGGGTGTCACTGTGTCCCCAGGGGTGACCTGGTGAGAGGGGATGTGTCCTCGGAGACCTTGGTGACACCCAGAGTGCCCCAAGGGGTGTCACTGTGTCCCCAGGGGTGATGCTGGGGTGGAAGGGATGTGTCCTCAGGGACCTTGGTGACGCCCAGAGTGCCCCAGCAGTGTCACTGTGTCCCGTGGGACGACATGGTGGGGAGGGACATGTCCCTAGGGACCCCTGGAGCACCCCAAGGGGTGTCACTGTGGCCCCAGAGGTGACATGGTGGGGAGGGATGTGTCCCCATGAACCTGGGTGGCCTCTGGAGAGCCCTGAGGGCGATGCCAGTGTGGAGAGGGACGTGTCCCCAGGGATCTCAGTGGCACCTGGAGCACCCCAAGGGGTGTCACTGTGCCCCTGGGGGTGACATGGTGGGAAAAGACGTGTCCCCAGGGACCTTGGTGGCACCAGAGCTCCCTGGGGGGTGTCACTGTGTCCCCAGGGGTGATGCCTGGGTGGGAAGGGACGTGTCCCCAGGGACCTTGGTGGCCCTCAGACTGCCCCAAGGGGTGTCACTGTGTCCCTGAGGGTGACATGGTGGGAAGGAACGTGTCCCCAGAGACCCCTGGTGAGTCCTGAGGGGTGTCACTGTGTCCCTGGGGGTGACATGGTGGGGAGGGACATGTCCCTAGGGACACCTGGAGCACCCCAAGGGGTGTCACTGTGTCCCCGGGGGTGACGTGGCGGGAAGAGACGTGTCCCCAGGGACCTCGGTGGCCCCTGGAGCGCCCCGAGGGGTGTCACCGTCCCCCCCGGGGGTGACATCCCGCTGTCCCTGCCCAGGACACGGCCGGGCAGGAGCGGTACCGCACCATCACCACCGCCTACTACCGCGGGGCCATGGGCTTCATCCTCATGTACGACATCACCAACGAGGAGTCCTTCAACGCCGTGCAGGACTGGTGAGTGCCCTCCAGCCCTTCCCAGCCACTCCCCCAGTGCCCTGCTCAGCCCCCCGTTGGGGGCACCCCCCGTTATCCCTCTTCTCCTCTCCCCCAAAGGTCCACCCAGATCAAGACCTACTCCTGGGACAACGCCCAGGTGCTGCTGGTGGGGAACAAGTGTGACATGGAGGACGAGCGCGTGGTCTCCTCGGAGAAGGGCCGCCAGCTCGCTGAGCACCTGGGTGAGCTGGGGAGAGGGGGACGCTCCACCACGGCCATCATCCAACAAATAATTTAATTAAGGGCTTAATTCCCTCCCTGTAATTGCTGCGCTTCGACACCGGCCGGTGACTCGGCGCCGGGTGAAAAAACCGCGGAGTCCTTGAGCTGTGTGGGGGAGTTTTATTACTGCTCCTTAAACCCTCTGAGAGCTGCTGGGGAGGGGGAATGGGGGAGTTTCTGGGCGAGGTGTCCCCGCGTGGGGGGCAGGTTGGACACTGCGGGTTGGGCAGCTCATTAATATTTAACGAGGGGAGGAGGAGGAGGAGGAGGAGGAGGAGGAGGAGGAGGAGCCGCGGCGGTTTCCGATGTTGTCGGGGCTGGAGGCAGGGCTGGAACCCTGATGTGTGTGTGTGTGTGTGTGTGTCCCCCGTGTCCCTCTGCCCCCCATCCCGTGCAGGATTTGAGTTTTTCGAGGCCAGTGCCAAGGACAACATCAACGTGAAGCAGACCTTCGAGCGGCTGGTGGACATCATCTGCGAGAAGATGTCGGAGTCGCTGGACACGGCCGACCCCGCCGTCACCGGGGCCAAGCAGGGCCCCCAGCTCACGGACCAGCAGGCCCCCCCTCACCAGGACTGTGCCTGCTAGGGGCCAGCCCCCCCCCCCCCCCCCAAACACCCCCAAAAACCCGTCAGGTCCCCCCCCCAACCCCCCCCCCAGCCCCTCCTCTTGGGGGTCCCGCGGGCGAATTGCTGCTGATGCCTCCGAAAGGGCTGCGGCCCCTTTAGGAGCTCCCCACCCACCCCCCCCATAATTCATTAGGCTGTGCCCCCCCCCAACCCACCCTTAATTTATTTTGAAGCCTGGGCTGGTAGAAAACTCCCCTCATTCTGCTTTTAGTCACTGTCCAAGGAACCATCGCCCCCGGCCTCAGCCCTTCCCTGAGAACCCCCTTCCCTGGGGGACCCCACTGCTCTGAGGGG